ATTTTGCCATTTCCTTCAAAGCAGCCTGAACTTCTTCTTTCATCACCATAGGCTCTTGCTCATATGTTGTTTCATGAAATTCTTCTGTAAGGAATTTTGGTGATAGGTCACCAGGCTGGCGTCATGGGAACATATCCCATGCAGTGGTGCAGACCATGTGATGAGTTTAATGTTTTACTGTCAACGTGTTGTAATTTTTAATGATTTTTAACTAGGGACTTCACATTTGAATTTTTCAAACTATATAGCTGATCCTGCTAAAGAATTTTGAGAATTCATAATCTCAACTGATTTTTGAAGTATTAGAGTAAATATAAACATTTTTGCCTTAACTCTTACATATCATTTGTTGTTGTTAGGTGCTGTTGAGTCAAGTACAACTCATAGTGACCCCATGAACCCTGTCCTATCCTGTGCCATCATCATACTTCCTGACACATTAGAGCCCGTTGTGAGAGTGACCATGTTAATCCACCTGGTTGAGGGTCTTCCTCTTCTTCTCTGGCCCTCCACCCTGTCAAGCACTGTGTCCCTCTCCAAGGAATAGCCCCTCCTAGCAACATGCTTGTAGAGTAGTAAAGCATGTGAGATGAAACCTCATTATCCTTGGCTCCAAAGAGCACTCTGGCTTCACCGTCTCCAAGGCATATTTGTTCTTTTGACATTCCATGAGACATTCATTGCTCTTCTCCCACACCACAGCTCAAAGAAGTCAATTCTTCTGTCATCCCTATTCACAGTTCAGCTCTCAGATGCATAGCAAGTGACTGGAGAGACCATAAACTGAATGGTGCACCTTAGTCCTCAAACTGACATCACTATTCCTCAATAATTTGGAGAGGATGTTTATAATAAACATAATTTAGGATAAGAAAAAGCAAAAGAAAGTATTGTATTTAAATATTTTTTCCTTATTGTGTTCTCACTTCCTGATGTTCTACATTTCCTTCTTTTATAATTTCCATTCTGTTCAGAAAACTTTCTTTATCCATTCTTTTCAATTGAGCCAGAAGTAACATATTCTCTTAGTTTTCCTTTATCTGAAAATATCTTGCTTTCCCCTTAATACCAGAAGGATAATTTTTTTGGATATAGCAATCAGGGGACAGTTTTACATTTAACACTTGAAAAATCTTGTGTCACTTCCATAGGTGCTGATAATTCTCTGCCATTTGAATTGTTTATTCTCTGTGTGTAAAGTATGATTTCTCTCTTGATACTTTCAAGAATTTTTTTTTCCTTTTTGTCTTTAGTTGTCAGAAATTTAATTGTGTATGTTGGGGTATATTTCTTTGGGTTTATCCCATTTGGGGTTCACTCAGCTTATTGAATCTCTAAGTTTATGTCTTTGGCCATGAACAATCCAGCAGCAAACCTGGAAAGACTGGCTAGTCCTCAGCTGTTATATGCAGTGGCTTTCAACCGTGGGCAATATTGGTCCCCAGTGCCTACTTGATAATGTCTGGAGACATTCTTGGTTATCATAAGTGAGAAAGACACTACTGGTACCTGGTGGGTAGAGTCCAGGGATACTGCAAAGCACCTCCCAGTGCATAGGCAGTGCCCACACAAAGAATTAACCAGTACAAACATATCAAAATTGTTGAGATTGAGGAAGCCTGGGTAGTGTGATATAATCTGATACAGTTAATATCTGTGCGCCAATAGACAGTGATCAAAGGAATAGTGTCACTAGGTCACATGAGACTCAACGTTCTGGTCTTCCTCCTGCATTGCCCAGAATGACTTCAGAGCTTCCCGAGCAAAGGGCTGACATGTACACTCCCTCTCTTTATGTTTCAGGGCACACGCCAATTTAATCTCAAACTGCTGTTTCACCTTCAGTAACCATTTTCTGTGTACAAGCTCTTGGGATAAAACCTTAAAAATATGGAACGTCCAAACAGGGGAGTTTCGAAAGCATGGAGCCTGCGTGACTCTGATGCAAGGCCACCAGGGCTCCGTGAGCTCCTGTCATTTTGCCAGAGATGGTGAGGAATTAACACGTAGAAGAATTCTGAGGCCGTGGGGACGCTGGGGCTGAGTTTCTTGGATTCTGTCACATGCACTTTCCTTAGAACAGCACAGAGGGGTGATTCCAACAATACCACTAATGAGTGTAGATTCTTTTCCACGAGAACAAAAAAATGTCAAGAGGAACTTCCATTGGCAAGTGACAAGTGACAGAAGTTCAACTAGGGCATTTCAAACACTTTCAGGATCATCCATGGTAGACAGGTTTCGGTGGGCCTTCCAGAATTTAATACTTCTAAAACACTAGCCGCTGAAACCCTTAAGAAGAACAGTGGAATATTGATACAGAGATTAAAGATGAGCCCCTTGGGTTGGAAGGCACTCAAATATGATCTGCCTGTTAAAGTGGAGTCGACCTTCTTGACGTGCATGGGTCAAGGAAAGTTTTTAGAACCTTGATTTGCTGATATGGCAAGACTCAAAATGAGAAGAAATAGCTGTAAATGTCCATTAATAACAGGAATGTGTAACAGAAGTGTGGAATGTATGAATTCTGAATTCAGGAAAACTAGAAGACAAAATTAACTTGCAAAGTTCAATAATCTGGACATTAGCAGAAATAAACTACTATTGAGTATTTTCAATCAGACAGGATACTGAGAGTGATGAATTGAAGAGGAATGGTATCATATTAATTATAAAAGAGTATATGTCAAGATTGATACTGTCAGTGATAGGATAATATCTATATCCCTGCAGAAAGTCTAGTTAATGAAACGATTATTTAACTTCACACACCAAAAATGTAATTAAGGTGTTTACCAACTTCTATGGTCTGAAACTGAGCCAACATGCAATTAAGATGTATTGATAATGATCAGTGATTAGAATGCAAAAGTTGGAAACAGAGAAGATCAAATAGCTGGAAAATGTCACACATGATAGAACTTTTCAAGACAAACAACCTATTAATTACAAATACCATTGTTCAACATAAATGGTGACTGTACAATAGAGACTAACGAGATGGAATACACGAGTTAAATCATCCACATCTATGAAAAAGATGGTGAAGAAGTTCAGTATCATCAGTCACAGCAAGGTCAAGGCCTGACTTCAGAAGAGATAATCAGTTGCTCATATGCAAGGTCAAGTTGAAACTGAACAGCCCATGAGGGCCAATGTACAACCTTGAGTATCTTCCTTCTGAATTTAGAGCCATGATGCCTTGGACACTAAAGACTAAAGACCAGAGGAGTTGTAGATTACATCAAGGACATTATAAGGAAAGCGAAATAATGGAATGAAAGCTTAATATGATTTGTAAATTTCCACTCAAATTTTTTAACAGGCAGCATAATATCAAGGTAGGCAGAGCGCTACACTTAGGCCATTCCATACATAACCAACAATAACAAGCAATAAAAAGAAAAAAAGATAGGAATTAGAAAGCATGGATGCCAGAAGACCCTCTGAAACTTGTTTGTGAACACAGAGTAGCTCCATTGAGTGGGAGTGAAACAGAGATTTCAGAGGAGCTTAAGAGGACAAAGCATTGTGACGAAATATGCAGAGACCTGGCATTCAAAAACCAAAAAGGAAGAACACATTCAGCATTTCTTGATCTGAAAGAACTGAAGAAAACAATTCAAGCTTTGAGTTGCAATATTCATAGATTCTATGTACAAAAGAGAAACTGAAGCACTGGCTGTTGAAGATGGAAGGCTTTAGAGGAGAAAAGCCTTCAGAATGGATTACACCTCAGTACAAAGAAAACGAAAATCCTCCCAACTGGACTGGATAAATGAAGAGTGAAGCTGTCAATATTTTAGTTTATGTGGGTCCACAATCAATATCTATGAATGTCAGGAAATCAAGTGACATATTGCATTGGGGAAATACGCTGCCAAAGACCTTTTTATTTATTTTTAAAAAGACTGTTTTAAAGTGTTAAAAGCAAACATGTCACTTTGAGAGCTAAAGGGTACCTTATTGTTGTTGTTGTTGTTGTTGTTAAGTGCCGTTGAGTCGCAGGTGACTCATAGCGCCCCTATGAAGGAGAGTCCTCAACGCTTGGGTGTCTGTCATCTCCTGTGCATGTGAAAGCTGGACAATTAATAAGCAGAAGCAATGCTCTCAAATTGTTCTGTCAAAGGGTACTAAATGGACTGTCAAAAGATTTAACAAATTCAGAGAAAGTACAGCAAGAATGTTCCTTACAGGTGACTTCATCTCATGTACCTTGAGCCTGTTACCAGGAAGGGCCAGCAGGATATTTGGTAAAGTACAGTTTTTACTTGGTGTCACTGAACGCAGTATAACTCTGCGACCCAATGAGCAAAGACCCTGGCCTGTGCTGCGCCATCGTTATCATCTCTGACACACTCGAGTCCATTGCTACAGCCCGTGTCAATCCATCTCGTTGCGGGTCTTCCTTGCCTTCAGGGACCCTCCACATTTTCAAGCATGATGTCCCTCTTCAAGGAATAAATAAAGGAGAGGGTCAGCAAAAAAATGCTTTTCAGTGGGATGAAGTGACACAATGAACTTAAATGTAGCGACATTCTAACGATGGCATCGGACCAGGCAGTGTTTGATTCTGTTGGTCATAGAGTTGCTACAAGTTGCAATCAACTGGATGACACTTAACAATAACAACGTAAAGGAAAAGTCCAGGAGCAGGTCCGACTCTAGGCGTGGTTGGTTCAAGATACCTGGCCCCCACAGTCAGGAGCCCATTTCCTTCACTCTGTCTTTGAACTCACCTCTCCTTTGGCCCTTGTGGTTCAAGTCAACATGGTCCTGGAGGATGAAAGACACCCCTTTCAGATGGTGCCAGCACAATTGATGGGAAAGCAATCATTGGCAGAATGTGAGATCCATGCCCATGTCTGTTCTAATTGTGTAATGCGGGATAATGGGCTCTGATTGGCCAGGTCTGGATTTGCTGACCCTCACATCTTGATATTAGGGCTAATCTCTGCTGATTCGGAGGGACCAAGTGTAGAGGAGGGATGGTTCGCCATAGAAAACTTGGGAGTGCTGCCAGTGAGCAGGGGCTACGACAGGTTACTCCCATGGGTGGAAGCCCCAGTGCAAGAAGTGCCTGTGCCAGCACGCAGGAGCCAAGCGCCACCCCTCCCCTTCCCTGTGAGGAGTGGACTTGCTTTGCTATCTGAGCGGATGGCAGTTTCCTGGCCGGCATACACATGCAGGGCTAATACTGAGACATACCAGAGTGCTGATGCACAACCTCCCCTTATCCACAGCCTGTGCTAGCCTCAACCTTGTTACTGGGAACCCACGAGCTCCTCTCTTGGACTTTATTGGGTTTGCAGACACCTCACTGGTTAGGAGGCTTTTAAGTCACACCAGCAATGAGCGTCAGTGTCTTCAGTCCACTTTGGTTTTGACAGAGGAGCAAGCGCTGGCGAGAGAACATGTCCTCTTTTTTGTATTGCAGCCTCTTTCGTCGTGTCTGGAAGTTTCGACAAGAGTGTGGCTATTTGGGATGTAGGAGAAGGCTGCTGGAAGTTCTCCCTGAAGGTAGGAGTGGGGCTGATAAGGGCAGTGCTGGGTGCTAGGGATGCCCAGTACTCCACCTCTGCACTGAGATGCCCCCTAATGGGGCCAACACTTCTGCAGAGGACAGACACAAGAAACCAGCAAATCATTAGCAAGGATGAGTGGATTTATTTATCTTTCTCTTTCTCTGTTATTAGTTTGCTTACAAAGTTTGAGTAAGTTGTGTTTCACATTCTTCTTCACACAATCGAATACTATGCAGCACTCAGGAGCAACAATTTAAAAAATACTACATGGGAAAGGCTTGAGAGCATTATTCTGAGTGAACTAACTCAATCGCATAAGGGCAAATACTGTATAAGACCATTATTGTGAAAATAGAAGAATAATTAATAAAATGTATGGAAACTCAAGGTGGGGAGGGCTGAGTATGTGTAGGGGTGAAACCGCAGGGTTTCACAGTTTGGTGGGTGGAAAGAGAGGGGGAAGGAAATGGGAAGGGTTTGAGAGAAAAGACAGGGTAATGTTGGACAAGGCCTAATGGTGATTAATTTTATAAAACAAAGTGCATGAGAATGACTGTATGAAACATAACATGAATGAAAAATAGTGAATTTAAGTTTGTTTGAGCAAAACCCCCTAACCAACTTATCTACCTACCTACCGACCAACCAGCCATCAAAAAGCCCCTCTAGAGATCCCCCAAAACAATGAAATAGAGCAACCCTAGGGCGTTGTGTTAGAAGCAGAGTCCAGTGGGCTTCTCAGGGAAGGTGGCATTTGTGCCAAGAGCTGGGTGGCAGGGAAGAACTGGAGGGGTGAGGATCTTAGGGGAGATAATTTCACACAAACGGAACACCAAATGCTAAGACCCAAGTTCAGGAAAATATTCAAGAAGAGCAGAAATTAGCAGAAGGACAAGTGCACTAATGAGGAATGCACAGACAGCTGTCTAATACAAAATGGGGGGATATCACCAGGATGGTTTGGGGGGTAGAATTAGAGAAGACCCAACTCAGAGTGACCTTATAATTGTTGTTAGGTGCTGTCAAGTGAGAACCAACTCATACTGACTCTCCAGCGGATTTTCCAAAGCTATAAACACACAGAAGGAGATCACCCATCTTTCTCCAGAGGAGCAGCTGGTGGATTAGAACAACATGCCTTTGGGTTTGCAGGGCAGCTTCTGACCACTCGGCCAATAGAGCTCCCTGGCCCTAGGTTAGGAGATGAACTATCTAACATGGCCAGGATCCAGAGGGCTAAGTCAGCGACCCTTACCGTGTTTCTACATATTCCTGGGTCTTACCATCTTCTCTTGGTCGTCTCTGGCTTTGAATTCTTACAGTCAGGACTCTGGATCTCTATCTCTTCTGGCCCAAATGTTGGTGTTATACAGTGTAGGCCTCTGGGCCCCAGACGGTCTAAGCTATCTTTCCCTAGAGTTTAGGGAGGCAAAGCTCCCCTTTTCAAGGGAGCTCTGATGGCCTAGTGGCAAGATGCTGTGCTGCAATCCCGAAGGTGGCAGTTTGAATCCACCAGATGCTTCACTGGAGAAGGAGGGGCAATCTCCTCCTATGCCAATAGGATCTGATTCGACAGTACACAAGAAGAAGAAGAAGAAGAAAGTTCTTTGCAAAGCAAGCATCCAAAAAGGAGCGTTAGACCCCTCTGTGTTTAGCATCTGTACCTTATCAGGGGTCTTGATTTCCTTTTTTCTCTTCTCTCCATTCTTTTGCCTTCAACGTCCTTTCCTTAACCAGAGTAACTCAAGCTCCTCTCCTGCCCCCTTTCCTTCCGCTGTGCCACACTGACCCACCTTTCACCTCTTTCCACCAACAGAATGATCAAGATGCGGCTGCAGAGCCCTGAGACCACCAACTCTCATGCTTGCTCTTAAACAGAGTGTTCCCTCTGCACCAGCTCAGGATAGAACCTTTTCTTCATTATGCTAAACCTCTAGTACTGTTTTTTAAACAAACAAACAAACAAACAACGCTTATTATCATGAGACAGGCATGGAGTCTTAAGCCTGTTTATACTTTGTATTCCACCCCGAATAGCATTGATGGAACGAGGGGAAACAGTTGCTCTTACTTAAGTGTAAGAACCAATAGTTTTCTGACTTTGGTTGGGTTTTCTTTTGTTATAGTTACAAAGGCCTTTGTTATTCTAGGTCCCTGTTCACATTTTCTTTTTCTCCAGGGCCATAATGATTGGGTGATGGATGTTGCCATTAGCAACAACAAGAAATGGGTTTTGTCTGCTTCAAAGGTAAAAGTGGCAATGAGGTTTTGTTTTTTAACTTTTAGAAAATGTGATTTAAAAAAAAAAAAAAGAAAATGTGATTTCAATGTTAAAAATGATACTAACACTATCATGAGACAACAGGGAACTCTGGTGGCCTAGTGATAAGAAGCTGTGCTGCAATCACTAAGCACATGGGTAGAATCCACCAGCTGCACTGAGGGAGAAAGATGGGCAGTCTTTTCCCATGCAGTTAACTGCCTCTGAAAACCCACTTTGAGTTGGTTCTGACTTGATGATACACAAAACCAAAGTTCAACAGTTAATCTACCTGCAAAGTAGACTGCTGACACTGGTGATTACAACACACTTCAAGTGCAACTGAGATAGGCTCGCTCTGCATGATCTAACAATGGATGATCCATTATTGTGAATTGCAAATCACAGTTAACAACATCGTTGAGGGTGAGGTGGACAGGACAGCAGCGGCCAAAGGTGAATGAGATATGCCCACTGACCTTAAAAGCAAAGATCATTTTCCCCTCAGTTCCTATTCTGGGTACTCCTGTGTAGGTTTAGTCCTTTTCACTCAAATTTCCACACCCAACACTAACTGTGGGACTCTGTGCATCCTGGAAAGGGTTTGTGGTACCTGGGACTTCGAGTGCTGGAGCTGGGAGGACCTCAGACAAAATGGGACATTTGGCCACCTTGACTTTACCTCTCTGGAGGTAGACCTTTCACACATTCTCAACCTGTATGCAATGCGCCTGCTTGGGATGCCCCTGAGAACGACGACTGATTCCCTGTTTAATTTGTTTTAGGATAAGACTATGAGACTATGGAACATTGAAAAAATGGACCAAATTCCTATGATAGTCGACTACAGAAAGGCCCGGAGCTTAACGGTGTCACAGGTTGGTATTGGATAAAGTGAAGCCCAAAGAAGGCTTTTGTTAGTTCACTCAGGTGAATTCAGCCTTGGAGTACACATCCTCCCTTCTTCCCCGACTGGAGATAAAAAACTCTGAACAGACCCAAGTATTCGCCAGGTTGTTGTGAGATGCTGCTGAGTCAACTACCTCTTACAGTGGCCCTGTGGACAGTGGATTGGAACCACAGCCTGTCCTGTGCCATCCTCCCCATCCCTGATATACCCCAGCCCATCGATACAATCCCTGTGTTGACCTCTTTCGTGAGGGTCGTCCACTCTTTCATGACCCTCCACCTTTCTCCGGCATGAGGCCCTTTGCCAAAGCCTGCCCCTCCTGTCAGCATTACAAAGTATAAGCTTCATCATCTTTGTCACGAAGGAACACCCTGGTTGCACTTTCTCTGAGTCATACTTGTTGATTCTTTCCACAATCCGTGGAAGAGTTTAAATTCCAACGGGAGGCAAATAACGACACAAGAGAACTAAGTAGTAAATCAAATGATGTTAAGTAAGTTGGAGAAAGAGAAAGCAGGAATGGCTAATGGGAGTTTTCGGGGTAGCAACATTTCAAGGGGACTCTTACATGTAAAGACTTGAAGAAAATGAGGGGTGAGATCTTCCAGCAGAGGGAACAACCAGTGCGAGACCCTGAGGCAGGAGCCAGCCTGGTTTATCCCAGGCACAGCCAGACTGACAGAATTGAAGAGGCAGAGTGGGACATAAGCAATCTGAGGGACCACTAGTGGGAGGGAGACATGGGCAGGCCTACAGAACACAAGCTGCACAGGGAGCCCAGGCTGCACAGGGAGCCCAGGCTGCACAGGGAGCCCAGGCTGCACACAGAGCCCAGGCGGGCACAAGGAGCCCAGGCTGCACACGGAGCCCAGGCGGGCACACGGAGCCCAAGTGGGTACACGGAGACCAGGCAGGGCTGCCCTCCTATGCTCCAGCAGCACACATCCCCGGAAGACATCAGTATCTCATTTCTCATGAACAGGGCTCAGGTACCTGCCTTTTCTTGGGGAAGAGCATGGTGGCCGTGGACACATCTGCATCACCAGGCTCAGCCAGAGTTGGCCACAGTCGTTATTTTGATATTACTCCCCTGGGCAGTGGGGCCGGTTGGTGGCCAGCACCTCTAAGAGGCTGAGGAGGCCCTACTTGGGCTTTTGAGTCCTTGGAATCACCTGGGTTTGTCTTCTCTCAGAAGGCCTGGCTGAGAGGAGACAGGAATTTCTTCCTAGTGCTGTAGGGCAAGGAGGTGAGGAGCAGGTGGTACCTCATCTTTGTGGCTGTCGAGGCTTTTTTATGTTGGTCCTTAGACTCTGGAAGGGGACTCATTACGGAGATCTCATAGGAGGGCCTTAGACTTAACCACAAGGAGGCATCTGGGCCAACTGCCCATTGTCCTGGTGTGCAACCCTGGGAACTAGAACAAGACATAAGATCTGATTTCTTTTTTGAAAAAGAAAGGAAGAAAAGATCCCCCCTGAAGCTGTAGCAAAGCTGACCCACTGCATTTGACTTGCTCCGAATCAATATCAGAAACCTCAGTGGGCAGACATACCAGAAGGCCAGCCCCAGGTGAAGTTTGCCTGCCCCCACCCTGCAGACCTCAAGCTATTGGGACCACAGGATGCTGTATAGGCAGCTCTCAGGCCTGGTAGCTGTACTGATCCAGGAGCAAGGCCTGAGCGCCCTTTTTGGGCAAGCGTGGCAAAATCTGGAGGATTGGGAGGCCAAAGCAGGGGGCACTGCTTTGCAGGATTTCTTTAGGGGGACTGTGCTGGAGGAGGAACCCGAGAAACCTCTGCTCATGGCATCAAAGTCCCCATCCTTTGGGGCTGCGTACTTGCTTGTGGGAAACAGATGTGAAGAGTGAGCTGTTCCATGTAGGACCATGTTCTCTCTGGCCGTGGCCAGAAACAGGCTATCTATCAGGGACAAACTCAGCATGTGCCCTGTTCAGTTTAGAAATCCTACCCATTTACTTCTCATGGCTCTGTAAAAGCCAGGTGTCCCAGGGGTATCAGGGAGTCACCACAGCCCCTCAGCCTCACAATTGCTCTCTGTACATGACAGTAGATGGGCTGGACACCTACCTTCTGTCTTGGCCTATTTCTGTACCGAGTATCTCCATGGCAGGGGACATGAGGCCACTCAGGTGATACCTAGCAGTCTCTGCGTAGACTTTGAGGGGGAGAAGGAAGGGAAGGGACATTATGTCATTCTCTCTGTGTGACCTGAAGTTGTTGGACTGGAGCCATCAGACACGTGAGGCAACTCTCCCCTTGGCCTAGCCTCACGTGGTTGGCGCGGCCCCAAAGGGGTGAGGGAGGGCTAGCTGCATGCCTTGGGTTCCTCTGATCAGCACTTCTTTTCTGCCCTTTAAAAATATTTCCCATCAGTGTCAAGAATGCAACAGGCTTTTCTCCATCTACGAAAGTGACTCCTCTACTGAAGCGTTCACCAAATGTGGCTTCTGTAGGGTGGATTCAAGTCCCTTGTCAGCTGAGGCCATGCCACTGTTATCAGAAAAGAAGGAGTCTGAGGCAAACAAAGGCTGCATAAAGGAGGACAGTTAATGGCCCCAGGCCCTCTGAGTGACAAGCAGGGGTCACCTGTCACATGGATTTTGGGGATCTGCAAGGGTCCCTTCTCTGGACCACTGTCCAGTCGCGTGACCTCGGCCTATTAGATGGGGACAGGGGTCCCTCTCTGCTGGGCTCTTGCCATATCGTTGTCTTCCTTGTTCTATAGTATCCTCGAAGAAGTGAGCACTTTGTTAATTTTCATATAGAATAAATCTATATTTCTTTGGAAAACAAGTGTGCCTGTGAATTCCAAAAGCATCTTTGCAGTTTCAAAGCTGTATGTCCCAGTATCCACCTGGTCTTCTATTTGTTCTATTTGGAGCACATTATGGACTCCATACTCCTTTGGGTGCCTGGAGTTACCCATTTTTTTTTTAATTATTTTTGTGTGCGTGTACCGTCAAATCAGATCTGACTGGTACAGGAGGAGATTGTCCCTCCTTCCCCGGCAGAGCATCTGGTGGATTCGAACCGTGCGCCTCTGGGATTGTAGTTGCAGCTCCTTGCCACCAGGCCACCAGAGCTCCCCTGGAGTGACCCATTAAGGCTGCCTTTGGGCCCTGGCACCAGCAGCCCCTGAGGAAACATTTGTCCACTGACCATAAGAATGTACGCTAGGTGGGTGAGGCTGTGCTGTGGCAAGACTTCTGTGCGTACCTCTGTGAATAAAGGTACAGATCACCGTATGCCCAGAGCTGAGAAAGGCAGATGGTGGGAGGTTCTGCCCATGACGTTTTCTGCCTCAGATTCCTCGGTTTCCAGAATACCCACGTGCAGTCCTCTTGAAGCTTTACATGGCATATCACCAATTCTTTAGGCGAAGGGAAGTTTCCAGTGAGTCAAACACTCTCCTCACCCCCATTGCATTATTTTTTAATTGTGATTTGAGTAAGTTTACAAGGCATATTATTTTTCATGCATTTATGAACACTTTGTTACATAACATTAATCACAATACAGTCCACTCATTATCTTTCCCTTTGTCCACTTTAATATGTTTATTATAAATTTATTTTTTTACTCTTTCTTCCTCCCTCCCTGGTAACCAACCATTGTATTTGTCCTTTTGAGACTGAATGATTTCATTCAGCATAATGTCTGCCAGACTCATCCATGTCATGCAGTGTTTGGCAAATTCTTCATTTTTCAAACTTGCTTTGTGTGAATGTACTGTAGTCTCTATCTATTCATTTGCTGCTGAGGACTTAGGGTGTTTCCATTTCTTTGTTATTGTGAATAACACTACAATAAACGTGAGTGGTATGTTATCAGTTCCTGTCAAAGCTCTTATTTCTTTAGGATATATACCTAGTAATGGAATAGCTGGATCAAATGTGATTTCCATTTTCAGCTTTTTAAGGAAATGTAAAACTACTTTCCATAGTGGTCGCACCATTTTACATCCCCTAAGAAATCTGGAGAACGACCACTTGGCCAACTGACTGGAAGAGATCGATATTTGTTCCTATCCCAAAGAAAGGTGACCCAACAGAGTATGGAAACTA